CAAAAATAAGAATCCAACATCCTATATAAAGAGGAAAATCGCTCATTGTGTCCCTATAGCGCAATGGATAGCGCGTTGGACTTCTAATCCAATGGGGACTTCTAATCCAGTGGGTTCGAATCCCTTCTGGGATCGCCTAATTTCTGAGAATGTGTGTGATTTACGAATGAATAAATAGTAACAAACACAAAAATAAGGGTTCAACACCATATACAGAGAGGAAAATCGCTTTCTATTTTGCTACTTAATATTGTGATTCTATCATATGTATATACATTTTTATATTAATTCTAATTGTTTCATAAAAAGAACTAAAAAAAAGAAAAATTTTCTTTGTTGACATAAGCAGGAACTGACTTTAAAAAGAAATTTTTAAATTATTTGTTGCTTTTGTAACTGAGCTCTTAATTGAAATTTAAAAAATTCCTAATTTTGTTTCTTTTTGAGATATTATTTTGGGGATAATGTCTGTGGTATTTGTTATTCTAAGTTTTATAATAATGCTTCTCCAATATCTAAATTGTTCTTTTTTTAATAATGGATACGAAGTATTACATACTACGTAACAACGTTTATCAATCCTCATTGCCAAAAAAGTAATGAATGTACCATATCCCCCATGAAAATGTTAATTATTTGTGGATTTGTTTGTTTACCTATAATTATTTTAATGAGTGCTAAAATGAAAAAAAATGTGAAAGTAGACAACTTTAGTTTAGAACATACTTGTCGAAAATGCAGACAAAAGTCTTTAAAATGCGGCCTAAACCCTAATTATGAAAATATTTAAATTTGTACATTTTTACTAAAAAATAAATTTTATAATATTTGCATATCATTGTTTATATCAAATGTTTGCATATCATTGTACTGTTTACAGGGCAATTTATGTGGAAAATTTTGAAAAATGGAAAGCGTATTAAGCGTTGTTATAAAAACCATTAAAGCTATATAAGAGCAAAAGCACTTAATTATAGACAATTGAGTTCCTTAAGGTAATGAATGGGCACTAAATTTGCAGATGTTATTTATCATACAGAAGTAAGATGGTTCAGTAAGAGGAAAATGATCAATAGATTTTACGATTTGAGAACTGAAATAAAAATATTTGTGTAAGTAAAAGGGAAACCTATGACTGAATTTGAAGACGAATATTAGGTTTTAGATTTATCTTTTTTAGTAGACTTAACCGAATATTTGAATAATTTAAATTTGAGACTTCAAGGAAAAAATCAATTTGTTAATAATATGTTCCAAATAATAATAGCGTTTGAAAGAAAGTTGAAATTCTGGCACATTCAAATAAAAGTAAAAGATTTGACACGTTTCAGTACTTTGGTTGCACATAAACCTGGGAGTTGCACAAAATATGCAAAATATGTTGCATTAATTTTTGATTTAATTCAATTTTGAAATAAGATTTCATGATTTTCAAAAAAAAAAAGTATTTTTTTTTTCAACTCATTTTCTACCCAATTTTCTCTAAAAAATAAATAAATTACCTTCAAATCTAGAATCAAATTAAGTTCATTGAGCTGTAAAGTGACAGTCAACACAGAAAGAAAAATTTGGGAATATTTTTTTTACTGGAATTTTATAAAGATTACCTACCCCGTGATAAATATCCTAATTTTCACTATTATGCTTTATTAATGTCTTCAGCTTTTGACAATACCTATATTTGTGAACAATTATTTTCAAGAATGAAGCATACAAAAAACAAAAATAGGACAAATATCATGGACAAACATCTGGAAAATGCATTAAGAATTGCAACCTCGTCTATTGAACCCGATATCGATTTGCTTGTTCAACAAAAGCAAATTTACCCATCATATTAATTTTAAATTTTTCCTATTTTTATAAAATCCAAACTAAATGAATCGAAGCTGTTACAAATTTAAAATAAATATCTACCCCCCCCTATACATATTTAATTCAAATTTAAAAAATTATAATAAAAGAAGTTAATTTATTTTAATAAAACTACATGGAGTTAATTTTTATTTCACTTTATTCAGAAAAATATTGTATGTGTGGCCCAGAATTTTTTTTGCATTGTGTCTTTTAAACAATCACAGTTTAGACATCCATGGCTTAGAACATTAAAAAAAAAAGATGACACTCATTAGATGACACATTCATTTTTACACAGCAGTAGTGTTAAAAAAAATTGATATATTTCAAGGAACGCAAAACAATGTTACCATTAATAAGGAATGCTAAATACTAAGCGAGAACAGAGAGGCAAACTATGTAATTTCTCTTTGAAGACTGATAACCAATCGCAGTTTAGACACCCATGACTTAGAACATTTAAAAAAAGATGATACACATTAGATGACACATTCATTTTTACACAGTATAGTAGTGTTAAAAAAATTGATATATTTCAAGGAACGCAAAACAATGTTACCTTTAATAAGGAATACTAAATACTTAGCGAGAACAGAGAGGCAAACTATGTAATTTCACTTTGAAGACTGAAGGTGCAAGAAAGGGGGAGGGGTAGACAGGAATTCCCGTCAGAATAACTGCCATTTAACCGACGTATTGAATCGAACGTAGGTAGGGGTCGAATGTAAAGAAGTAGTAGATTCACAGCTGCGGCTAAGAAAGTAATAAAACAACCAAAGAAAAGGTAACAGGGTATTTGCAACAAAACAGCAATAAAACGATACCTGATTTTCCCAAGACTGGGAAAGAAGTATGAGGTTTTAAAATTTTGAATACCAAAAGAATTGTAGTGCAGAGCTGAACCATTCAATAGCTGTATAAATCTTTTGGTATCTTACAATATCATCATAAAGATGGCTTGGATGAGGGGGTTAGAACAGGGGTGGTTAAATAGTGGGCCACCAAAGCAACCAGAAAAGATGATAGGGTACATTTATCTTATTAAACTGATTCCAAAATCAAATGTGCTTGCAGCCATATGATACGAAATCAGCACAGTAAGTAACTTGAATAAATCTGCCACAATTTATATCTCTAGGAGATGCGAAGTTACTCGTTATAAGGGAATGCAATCATTTTTAAAAAAAGAGCTTAGCAAAAAAAGCAATGTGGCCCATGAGCCAAAATAACTGCCCATTCCTGGGTTAGAATGATTTGAAACTAAATAGATGGATCACTATAGAGTTGCGAGAAGAATCGTCTTCTATCGACAGGGACCGACAATACTTGAGAAAGATCATACAATACCTGGGAAGTATTAAATTAGTGCTTCTCAAAGTTTCAATATTCACGACCCAATATTCAATCATAATTTTAGTCGCCCCTCCCTCCTCAAACAATAACAATGTATTGAATTCAATAACGTTATTACTTTGATGATAAAACTACGATACGACTTTAACCTCTTAAGTGCCACCGGAGTATATAAACGTCTCTGTCAGCCAATGCGTCAATTTTCCGGAACGTAAATAATACATATTTCCATCTTTTCTGTGCACTGCTTTCGATAAAATTATTCCGAAGGCATTGGAAAGCAATAAAAGGACCTTCTCAATGTTCACGAAGGATTTACTTATTTCAGATTATTTACTTCTTTATTCCTGCCCCCCCCCCCCCCAATACATCACATACGCGAGCCTACGTGGAAAACGGTTGGCATTTGGAAGCGAATCGGTTAATTTTTATCGGCATTTAAGGGATTAAGTATAAATCGTACAAATTATCAAGATAAGTGTTAATTTTTGTGTATAATTTTATATATGAGAATCCAAAGGGGTCAGTGGTAATTGTTCTTAACTTAGTATTGCTAAATCAATTATAAAATATATTGTGTAGCACTGATACATTTATAAGTATAATGTATCGTGTAAATTTGAATTTTACTTTTTATTATGTCAGAATGTATTTTGTTTATTTACTTTCAATAAATTAATAATTTTTCTAAATAATCTTTTGTTTTCGACTTTTCAATAGGCTCTCGCCCCCCCCCCCTTCGTAGAGTTGTTACGCCTCTCAAGGGGGGCGCGCCCCACAGTTTGAGAAACACTGTATTAAATGCAAAATCACAATATTATTCTTACATTACTGTCAGAAAAATATTTTTAATTGATGAAATAATAAAATTTAGTCGTACTATTTATATAATAATAAAAAAAGTAATTTATAAACAATTGAAACAAAAGTTTAGACAAAATCCTTTTTTAAGGTAAAATAAAGGTTATTTAAAATCTAATCAAATGTTTCATTTATATAATAAATTTGTAACTGTATTTTATGTACTAAAATTGTGAGATTTCATTGAAATAATGCACCTAAAAACTATAGTAAAAATTATTAATTTTTCTAAATAAGATCAGTGTAAAATATATACATAAGTACTCAACATAAAATGCGTACAAGAGGCTCAGTAGATTTGTCTATAATTATGCCACGCTGTACACAACAATTTGTAATAACTTGGGTTGAAATTAAGAATACATAAAGAAGTGAAATTCGAATGTTAAGTAATAATATATACTTTATGCTTTCAGAAGGAAAAAAAACTACATACGTATTATTACTTATTATTAATAATTGGAAGAATGATTTTTGACGAAAATGTTATTTTAAAACATTGTTTAGGTTGAGAATTTAAGATGAAAGTTGCGCACTAATTATATGGAAAAACTCGATGGGCCTCATTTTATATTTTAATCAGAAATTCAACGTTCTTTTAAATGGCAACTTCACGAAGTCTGAAATATAAAAAATGTTTTATTAAAAAAAGGTTACAAAAAAGATCTATAAAAATTGTTTCGAAAATTTATATTTTAAGGAAATGATCAGAAATTCTTTATGGAAAAAACTGTACAAATGACAATTTTCAATCATACTTTGTTCGTGCCTAGAAAATTTTTAATCGTCAGTACCTTTTACTGTTAAAAAGAACTCCTAAAAAATTAACGTGAAAGAAGTTTCTAAGGCACAGTGGATTAAAGTTTTATATGAAAGTAAAAATTCTCAAATAAAACTTTTTAATACAATGTGGCAATGGCTTCCATTGTCTTACAAAATTCTTACACACTCCATTATTAGTGTTGCCACTCCTATTAAATTCGACATTTCCTGTTAAATATTATTCAATATTTATTTACTTTGTGTTTGTTTATTCATTTTAAATCGGGAAACAGAATTTTAG